CTTTTATTATGCCACAGTCGACCGCTTCCGCTGCTTCTGGTCGTGCGTATGTGGGGTAAAGCAGCGCTGTTTTATCATACTACATACATTTAGTTCTGTTATAATGCTACTCTGTGCGGTCGTTGCCGGTCTATTAAAAACGCACAACATATTAAAGCGTCTTTGGTGTTTCCATGTTTTCTACAAAACAAAACCGGAAATCGAGGGCTTATTGGCAGGCGACACAATGACACTATAGACACAGTCCGTGTCACTAGTTAAAATTGCTTATTTCTCTGTATTTAAACATTCTTCGAAACATTTGGGATAATGTAAGTACACAAGTCAGCAAAATATATAACACTGTTCTAGTGGTTTTTGGATATTTTAATAAAAAAAATCTTACATATTGTGCCTTTAATACAGAATAAACCAAACACACAAACCTCACAGGGAAATGAACCTCCTGATCCACAATCCCATGATGCTCCTGCATCTGTGTGACCACCCCGGTGAACACACGCTGCCTCATCTGAACACAGAAACATTCAATGTTCACACAATAATACATCAGAAAGTGTGTCTTTATGCACAATAATAATGAACAGATTCCCATCATATATACACCATATATGTCTCCATATCAGATTTTCTTTTCTCCTTTGCATGCAAAAGAAAGTATACTGAGTGCTGTGGGACACATGCATGCATACACAATAGAAATGCACGAATGAAATATGTGAAATAATAGTTGTGTAGGTCAACTGCAGCATGTGTGATCTTTACTTCCTACTGCATCAGCAGCATTACAGGAACGGCAGTTTAATGCAGCTTCCTCGTATCCACAGATCCTTATTTAGGACTTATCTATTAGGAGAGGTGTTCATTAATGTGCTGCGGCGTTTTAAAGGTGAAACGTACCTGTATTTTGCGTTCGGGTTCTGTTTTTCCTCCACGTTGCTGCTTTTGTTTGTCTTCTGTCATGGCGTTTCGCATCAGCGGCATCAAGCGGTCAGTCAGAGTAACTGCAGGTGAAACGCCTTAAACTGCGTTTGGTTAGAAATACAACATGAAAGGCCGCACAAAAACGTTAAATGTGACGCAAAAAATCTTGGATTGTTTTCTAGACTTCGCTATTCTTCCGAGGCGGTCGTATTTGTGTGAAAGTGCCGTCGTGTGGTTTGACCTGCAGTTCTCCTCCAGTGCCGTGGGTGGCGCTGAGACGCGGCGGGGTTTAACGTCTCGCTCGTCTGTCTGTGCGCAAACACACGTGTGAAGATGGAGGAAGAGCGACTACACTTTCATGAGATGGGTTTAGACGATCGGGTATTAAAGGTAAAATAAACAGTCGTGCTAATAATACAAAGTCTGTCTACCTCGAAAGTAGTACCTCATCAGTTTGTTTAGTGCAGTTTGAATGTGGTTACATTGTGATTATATGCTAACATCAGCACTGTCATTTCTGTATGATATGATATATGACGATATATTTCTTATTCATTATTACTTACCTATTTTATTAGGATCTATGCCAATGTTTCTTTCTGTGTCAACAGGTTTCCCATAAATACCTTTCTTATATTTAGTTATGTGGTTACTATAGTTCCTGGCCGAATACTGTAGCTAATACAGTAAAACTGTGTTTATTTGCTATTATACAAGAAAGTATTTATTTATTTATATATATATTTATAATTAATTAATTAATTAATATAAGTACATTTGTAACAACTGAATTTCAGATGTGCTTCACATGATTTGTGTCACTGTATGTTGATGTCACAATTAATTGACAAAACATTTTCGATGTATTTATTAGTGCTGTCCACTTGTGATTGGGATGTGAAGCTGTGTTTGTTTGTTTCTCAGGCTCTGGCTGATTTAGGCTGGTCTCAGCCCACCCTCATCCAGGAGAAAGCCATCCCGCTGGCACTCGAGGGGAAAGATCTGCTGGCCCGAGCTCGAACCGGATCAGGGAAAACCGCAGCCTACGCGATCCCTCTCATCCAAAGAATCCTCACGTCTAAACAGGTGACGCGTGGCTTTAAGTTATTTGCGCTAACTTGGGCCTGAATGGCAGACTTAGTTCAAATATATAACACCCAGTTTATGTGTCCAGACTGTTCGTGAGCAGGCCGTTAGAGCTCTAGTCCTGGTCCCGACCAAAGAACTGGGTCAGCAGGTCCAATCCATGATCCGACAGCTCACTGCGTACTGCAGCAGAGACGTACGAGTGGCCGACATCTCTGGGAAGGCGGATATATCGGCACAGAAGTCAGTACCACAGCAAAAGATTTTTTTTAATGCCGATAAAGAAATTCTATCTACATAAGGACCTATAATCAAAATCGCTAATATATATCTTGAAATGGATGTATTTACTCTGAAATGACTTAAGAATGGGTGTTTTATTAATGAAAGGAACCCTCATTTCAATAAAACAGATTAAAAATGTTACATTTTAGAATTATTTATATACTATCATTGTTTTTGTTAATATTTTGAATTGGCTTTAATTTTTACATGTTAGTTGTCGTTTTAATTTTTGTTTAAGTTTTAGTCATTTTGTTATGTGCTTTTGTCATTTTTCTTAGTTTTTGTTTTTTAACAATACTGCTATTTAGGTTACTTTTTATTTTTAAGTTAGTAATTTAATATTTAAGCTTATTTCAGTTAGTTGCTAAGGCAACATTTCTAATTTTTGTTTAGTGCAAATTTCTATTTGTATTTTACTTTATTTCAGTTAACAAAAATGTTTTTAATAGTTATAGTTTTAGTTAACGATAACCCTGCTCAGGTTAAACCAAGTTCATCGAGGAATTGTTTTAATCTCATTCAAGCTCTTAAGTCTCATTCTAAGTGTAATGAAATATTTTTTACAGGCCGATTTTAATGGAGAAGCCGGACATTGTGGTGAGCACACCGTCCCGTGTTCAAGCCCACATTAACGGCCAGAACCTGCAGCTTCAGTCTTCATTAGAGATGCTGGTCATCGACGAGGCGGATCTTCTCTTCTCCTTTGGGTTTGAAGCGGACCTTAAAAGCCTGCTGTGGTACGTTTTCATTAAAACAGCATGGGACACAAATTACCTGCATGTGTCTTGTTAGCTGTATTACCTTTTATAATACCATATTTTCCAGAAAATAAGTCCCGAGTCAAAATTGGATCGTTGAGAGAAATAAGTCGCATAGGTGAATAAGTCACGTGTCATTATTACATTCAAAATTTATGTAAAATACTGATAAATAAAATGAAGCATTTACACCCATTATAAGCATGTATTTTAGTTCGCATCATTCCACAATAAATCCTTCAAATTCAACAGTATTCAGAACAGAAATTAATAAATATAAGTATACAGCAAACATAAATTATAGAGGCATTCATTTAATGTGAGACTGAAACTGAAATGCAGAAATAAAGCTCATTCAGCACAAATCCAAATGTGTGCAATTTATGCATGTTTTGCGTGCATCATGTTAATTGTAGTGTATGAGTCGCAGCACGTTTTAGATGACATATTCCAGAAGATACTATGTCCGGCAAGTTTTGTAAAGGTAAATACATCTCACTTTTTTACATAAAGCGTTTTTTTGCAGGTTTTAAAAAGGAATAATTAGCTTTTCCACAAAATAACGGCTTAAAAAGAGCAGAAAGTCTTAAATTCATAAAGTCATCATGGCATTAAATGTTGCATGCATTGAAAAAAAATCTTTTGTGCTTATACAAATTTCTAAACATCCTCAAATCAAGATTCATTTATGTGAAATGCAAAATGAAGTGAATGTATGCTGAAAACAAATATCTGTCAGTGAGACATGAAAACTTGTTTCCCTTTGAATTAAGTTGATTTTTCTCTGCCTATTGGCTAGTATTTGTTCTCCTTTTAATCATAAACTCAATTCATTTTGATTAATTTCTCAGAAAACTAGTTGTTATCTTATGTCATTTTGCATCTAGTTTGATTTAAAAATCTTTAGATATTTGTCCTGGAAAACAAGACAAAAATACTGATGAAGAGTACCACTTTTTTTGCAGTGTAATCAGAAGCTACAGTAAAAGTTATTTCCATATTCTAGTGTTTGAAAGCAGTTTTTAAAAAAAAATCTGTTGGAAGTTGTATTAGCAGCACTTCAAAGTTTGAAAATACAACTAGACATTCCGGTCAATTTATTCCTTACGTTTTTGTTTTTTCTTTTGGTTTTAAAAATGTCTTTTAAAAGTCTTAAATGTAGCATTCTAACACCTGCAGAAGTCCTGATAGAGCTCCAGCATCTAGTATTTGTCTGTGTTCACCTCTGCAGTCACTTACCCAAGATCTACCAGGCGTTCCTCATGTCTGCGACGCTGAATGACGATGTCCAGGCCCTTAAGGAGCTGGTCCTCCACAACCCTGTGAGTGCAGCGGCGCCAGCATCAGCAGCTGGTGTGTTTGGCTGGATCTGACGCTTTCCTCCGTCTGTCGCAGGTGATGCTGAAGCTCCAGGGCTCTCAGCTGCCCGACAGCTCTCAGCTCCAGCAGTACAGCGTCCGATGTGAGGAGGAGGACAAGTTCCTGCTCATCTACACCCTCCTGAAGCTCGGCCTGGTTCAAGGGAAGTCGCTCCTGTTCGTCAGAGATGTGGACCGCTGTTACCGGCTCAAGCTGTTCTTGGAGCAGTTCAGCATCCCTGCTTGTGTCCTGAACTCTGAGCTGCCCATTCACTCCAGGTGAGGGAGGAGAGTAGAAATTCAACAAAATCTGTGTACTTTCTTAAAGCTGCAGGGTTATTATCATTAACTCAAACTAAAACCATTAAAAAAATGTTTTTGTTGCTTTTTAATGTAAAGTTTCAGTACATAAAAAAAATAAATAATAATATTTTAGTTAGTTAGTTTTCACACATTAATTTACTTGAACAACTAAAACTAATTATATATATATGTATATGTATTTGTGACCCTGGAGCACAAAAGCAGTCTTAAGTCGCTGGGGTATATTTGTAGCAATAGCCAACAATACATTGTATGGGTCAAAATTATTGATTTAGTTTTTATGCCAAAAATCATTAGGATATTAAGTAAAGATCATGTTCCATGAAGATATTTTGTACATTTCCTACTGTAAATATATCAAAACTTAATTTTTGATTAGTAATATGCATTGCTAAGAACTTCATTTGAACAACTTTAAAGATGATTTTCTCAATATTTTGATTTTTTTGCACTCTCAGATTCCAGATTTTCAAATAGTTGTATCTTGACCAAATATTGTCCTATCATAACAAACCATACATCAATGGAAAGATTATTTATTCAGCTTTCAGATGATGTATAAATCTCAATTTCAAAAAATTGACCCTTATGACTGGATTTGTGGTCCAGGGTCACACACACACACACATATATATATATATATATATATACTATATTCTAAAACAAATTCTTAAAACTAACTAAAATTAAAGTCAAAAGAGAAAATCTAAAAATAAAATCTAATTCAAAATATTAACAAAAATTGTGATATTTAAAACTGGTGTCAAGTCAATTTCATGGTTATTACTAAAAATATTTTTGTTAAATAAAACTGAAATAAAGTATAAATATTAGATGGAAAAAAACTTTTTGAAAATTAGAGGTAAGTTTAAGTTTGAAGCACTAAAATTACTAAATTGTAAGAAACTGAAATAAAATGCAAAACCTTAATGGAAAAAAAAATAATAATAAAAAACTATAATCTAGTTCAAAATATAAACAATAACTTTGATACTTAAACAACACTGGTGACAAGTCACTTCCAGGATTATTTAAAAAAAATTGTTAAAAATAAAATAAAACACAAATTAAATATTAGATGAAAAGCAAACTAAACAAAAAATAGAAATAAGTTGAAGTTGAAGCACTAAAATTACTAAATGGAAAGAAACTGAAACAAAAAGTAAAACATAAATAGAAAATGATTTATTCTAAAGAAAAAGTTAATATTTGTTTTAATAATATTAAATGTCCTAACTATATTCGCCGCTGAAACCTCTTTTTCTCTCCTGCTGATGTAACCAAGGCCATGAGGTTGGAGTAAAATAATATTATCCAGTAATATATGCTCTGAATATTGTTTAACTCAGACACATCACATTGTAGATGTTAAATGTGTAGCAAATGCTGTTTTTATGTTGCATTTGTATTGTGTTTTTCA